AAGATGGATTAGATGGTGGCCAAGGATCCCCACCTCTGCCATCCTTGAAATCTGTAAAATAAATCTTGATAAACTCCTAAGAAAGGGCAGCCTCTGCTCAGTGTAACCCCCTTGGGTAATCGCCGTATTTACTGGTGTGAGTCTTGAGCATCTGTCCCTGGGCACCTGGTGGGAGGGGAATTGCTAGGACCCGAGGGCCTGGCAGCCAAGCCCTAACCTGGGTTTCATCAGGCAGGAGGGAGGCTCTTGGGAAGAGGACCAGCCAAGGCCACCATCCCATGGAGGATGCAGGAAGGGAGCTGGGCCAAGCGCTATGGTCTGTCTGATGTAATTCAGGAAAAAAGTGCCCGGGGGGGCTCCTTGGCAGTCTGTAGAGAGGGCCAGGGCCTCAGTACCCTGTTGCAGCCAGTGGACCCCTAAAACAGAGCAGCTCTGAGTCTGACCTCCCCTCCTTCAAAACCTTTTTTCAGCTCCCCCCAGCCCAGCAGATTACAAATTGGGAGGGTCTTGTTTGGCCTACACAGTGTTTAAAAAGAATTAAGCCAATAATTACAAATGGAATGATTTCACATATAAATTCTATCCTGATTTCTGATTTCTCAAAGCAGGAGGACAGAGCAGCCTGGGCGCTCACTCCTGCCTGGCAACCATGAGACTGAACCAATAGTGCAGGCCTGCCCCTTCTGGTGGGCTGTGTGGTCTCCAGTTAGCCACAGTCCCCACTGCTCCCTAGCACTCCCCCATTGCGCTCGGGCAAAATGTGGGAAGGCATTTAACAGAATGCTTATCCTCCTGTTTCATCCCAGTACAGACCATGCTGCTAACAAAAAGGGGAAGTGGGCGATGTGCTGAGACAGCTTTATGTTTCCCGAAACAGCCAAGAAGGCACATTTCTGCCTGTGAGGTGTTGATGTGGTTGCTTCTCTCATTCACATGACCCGGCAGGCTGGGTCTGAGACATCTGCTTTTGACCCATGGCCTATGGACAAAGTCCTGAAACCTGGCATGGGGACTCTTCTGATCTATCCCAATATCGAGAAGCAGATCTGCGTGAATCTAGAGTGGGCAGTCTTGTAGGGAGCCACACCCCTGGGGGAGTTGGTCCAGCAAAGTGCCCCTGTCCTCCCCTGCCCCCAGCCTGATCCCGCACTGTCTCTGACTCCGCCTGCCTACTATCCTCACCGTGTGTTTCACACCCCAACACCTGTGGTCACGCTGTTCCCACCTCCGTGGTCCCTTGGACCCACCCTCCATGCCCACCCCACCTCCACCTGCCTGAATACTACCATCTTCCAGGCGGGCCAGCTGCAATGACCCTCTTTCTTCTTCCTGCCCCCTTGTGCTCTGTCGGTACCACTCCCAGGCCGGCTGCTTCTCGGTCCTGGCATCCCAGCCGTGGGATTCATTCCTTATTCTGTTGTGAGCGGCCCAGGCCTGAGTCAGCAAGGGCCCGCCCTGGGCTGGACCCACTGATGGATTGGATCGATAAGTACTGACTGAATTTCCAGGTATCCCAGACCTGCTCCTTGGGGGAAGCTTCCTAGGCTGAGGAACTAGGATGAGCCGATTCAGGCCACCCACGGTGAGGCCTGGCCTGGGCTGCTGGAATAGCGCGGACTCACTGGTGCCCCTCCCCAGGCTCCCCCATGTCCCAGGTGAGGGTCACCGAGAGGACAGCAACTAACTCCCTCTCACACCCCCCCACACACACACCCACACAGCGCCCTCAGACTAGGTCAGCACCTCTGGCAGAGAGCGCCCTTCGCATCTGGACCATCACCCGAGACAAGGCATCAGCATTTTCTCTTAGCCAGAAATTTCATAAAAGAAAGTTGCTGTGAACTTTTGCGGAAAAGCACCTCCCACAAAATGCATAATTGAGAAAGTACATCTCAGGGACACCAACTTGTGTTCTAAAATAGTGTCTCCTTTAGAAAGTCTTGCTGGACCCCCAGGCTTAGTTGGGGGCTCCCCTGAGTTTCCACACCCCCTGCCCACTTTTTTCTGTCTCTTCCCTAGACGGCGGGCTCTGAGGGCAGTGTGTGTGTACCCAGCCCTGGTACCAGGAGTGCCCAACACAATGTGCCAAGTCAGTTGCTGGACAGCGAGCCAGTGACCCCATTCCCTGCCTGGCCAGTTTGTATTTGAAAACCGGGACTTTGGAGTTCCCAGTGTCGAGGTCCCCCATCCTTGGAAGGTTGTATCCAGGGCAGGGGTTATGTCAGAAACAGCGTCCCTTTGAGAACAGTCCCTCGGCTCTCAGGGCCCAGTTGGAGAAGGACTTGGTGTGAGATGCCTGGCCAGCCAGGAAGTGACATTGAGCTTGAGGGCAGCTTTTCCTTAAGGGATGGGAGAGGGGGTCGGGAGGGAGGAAGATGCCCTGCCGTGGGGAGTGGGAAGTGGGCGGCTGACTCTGTGAAGAGGGGCAGGGCGAGGCGTGGAGAACAGGCCGCCACCACACCCCAGTGGCTTGCGTGGGGAACTCTGAGGATTTAAAGATGAGGCCGGAGTTCCAGGATGGGTGGGTTGAGCCTTAGCAACCGCAGCGAGACTGTCTCAGTAACAGCAAGGGCGGGAGCAGTTGGGGGCCTCCGTGGAGACCTCGTTAAGGGAGCCTGCTGTCCAGTGGGAAGGCCAGCATCAGTGTCAACAAAATGAAGCTCCGAACAGTTATTGGAAAAATAAAGCTATTTCATGTTTATACCTCGTGGGGTTGAGAGTCTTGGATCAAGTCCATTATATTTAAATATTTACAGGTACAAATATGTTTGTATCTGCATAATTCCTGAGAGGACATGTAAGTGTAACAATGGCCTCTTTCGAGGGGGACTGGGGCAGGGGAGGGAGG